GAGGAGATACTAACAAAGACTTTAAAGTCAAAAATGCATTTTGTTGTTCGGCATTCCATTGAAATAAAACATCTTTATGTGAAAGAACTCGCAAAGGAGATGTTACAGTCGAATAATTTGGAATAAACGTTGATAAGTAATTGGTAACTCCTAAAAATCTTTCCAAATCTTTACGATCTTTAGGTATTGGCATCTCCTGTACAGCTTTAAGCTTAGAAGGATCCGGAGTTAAACCATACTCAGTAAACCGATGACCCAAAAACAAAACTTCACTCTCAGCAAATTTACATTTTCTAGAGTTAAACTTAATATTAAAATCCTTAGCTCTTTTTAATACTTCCTTTAATCTTAAATCATGTGTTTGTTTATCAGGAGCACCTATGCAAATGTCATCTATGTAGGTGACTACACCATCAATACCTTCAAATATTTGAGATACAGTAGAATGAAATATATCCGGTGCACTTGAGATACCATATGGCAAACGAAGGTATCTATATCTACCAAAAGGTGTATTAAACGTACACAACTTGCTACTAATATTATCCAACTTAAGCATCCAAAATGCACTGCTTGCATCAAGAGTTGAAAATATCTTACAATTATTAAACTTTGATGACACTTCATCTATAGTTGGCATTTGACAGTGTGTTCTTTGTATATACTTATTCAGGTTTCTTGGATCTAATACTACCTTTAGTCCAGAATTTTTTTTGTTTATCAAAACTAAACTGTGAACCCATTCTGTAGGTTCATTTTCTTTTACGATAATTCCATTAGCTTCCATTAATTCAAGTTCATTTTTCAAAGGATTTAACAAAGCGAATGGTACTCTACGACATGGTTCAATAATAGGCTTAGCATCTTCACTTAATGACAAATGAACTGTTGTAGGAATGTTACCAATACTACCATCAAAAAGTGAGCTATATTCATTCAAAATGCTACTAACAGAATGTACACTTTCATTAGGCCTATGCATATTTTGACCTAGAACAATATTATTTACACTTTGGTTCTTAACATCAGACAATACCTGACCGTTGTAGGCTGCTATAAGACCTAACGCGCGACAAGAATTTAAGCCTAAAATTGGCGAACATTTCACATCAACTATTACAAAAGTAATACAGAACATTTTCCTGTTGAAAGAGCAATCTAAATCTACAATACCTAGTACCGGTATTTTTTCACCAGTTAGTGTACTAAGATTTATATTTGAGGTGCGTATTAATGCCTTTGATAGGCCTAGCCTATTAAACAAATCAATTGGGATGATATTTGTCTGAGCACCTGTATCTATTTTAAATGATATTGTGTGTTCCCTAATGTTCAAATTCTCTAGCCATTCATTAGCCCTGGATTTACACATGTAATTTTTAGGAACAGAATCATTAACTGAACATATATTACTGAATAAAAAGTTTTTGTCAATCACGTAATTAGATATAGATTCAGACGTGAGCGATACCGTATCAATTGAAAAATATTCTTGTGCACAAGTACTTTTAGAAGAACTGTCTTGCCTACCTTGCCTTATAGCTACATCTCTCGAATTAGAATCTAAACTTAGGCCTACTTCACAAACCTTTTTGGCTGATTTGCATACACTGGCAAAGTGGTTGTTTTTACCGCACTTATAGCACACTAAGCCATACGCAGAGCACTTGTTAATACCGTGATTTTTCCCACAATTACGGCAGTTTGAAATAAACTTCTTAGCACTTGTACTTTTGTTAGGCCTACCTGTCCCAGTTGATTTCTGCTGTGACGGTGGATGAAATTTGTTCCGTTGGTCCTGATGAACCTGTTTCTGTCTGAACGTTTGTGGTTGTTGGTAACCCCTCTCTCGTTGCTTATGGACGTTTACTGTATGGACATTATGTTCTGCTTCAAGTTCTCTGATGTGTTGTTTAGACAGTTCAGCAGCTTTACAGATTGCTAAAGTCTTCTCCAAGTTAATCTCCGGCTCTCTCAATAATCGTTCCCTGACATTCTGGTTTTGAGAGTTAAGCCCTGATATTAAGACATCGCAAACAAGACTTTCGCGGACAGAGTCAAATTCACAAGCGAGGCTCAAGTTAACTAAGTCTGTATAGAAACTATCGATGGATTCAGATGGCAGCTGTTTCCTATTTAGAAATTTATGTCTCAGAACCGTGAGGTTTTTCTTAGGCGAGAAATGGTTTTCAAATTTACTTACCACCACGTCATACTTTTTTGCATCTTCGGATGAGAGGTTGAACGAATTGAAAATGTCTATGCATTTGTCACCCAAATTATGTAGTAGTAGAGCAACCTTCCTAGCGTCATTTTCAGAATTTAGGTTAGAAGCCAAGAGATAAATCTCAAATTTCTGATACCAGTGCTTCCAATTTTCGGCTAAATTGCCCTCGAAATTAAAATTCTGAAGATTGCATGGAACCATTGTGAAATTTTCAGTTTTTCTAGACACAGTCCTTTGTTCAGTTTGTTGAAGCACGTTTTCATCTTCCGACTCACTCATTGTTATAACACATTTTTATGTTAATTTATTACTCACGCACTTGAATTTATTTGTATCCCACTTATAAGACACCATGTTTCATGTTTTAAATAAAAACACAATTGAAGTTTCAATACTATTTATTATAAATTGTAATTAACATCGACAGAAATACATTTAGGCTGCAGTTAATGAGCCGACATATTTTATTCTGAATCGGAAATCAAGTACACTTAAAAGAGAATACACAAAGACCAAAGAGTAATACCTCTAAACATGGACTTCACTATATACATATATCAACACATAGTACCCAATAACATTGGTAAAACCACCTACTAATTGATTATTATTTAAGTACACCCAAGTTACTAATATGATGTCTTAAGTTAGGGACTTGACAGAATTATTAAATTTTAAGGGTTAAATAGTTAATCTCAGTATAAAATCAACAGGATATTACACGTCTGTTTATTTCTGGCCTGATTGTAAACACAACATAACCTTAAGTTTAGTTTATGAAAGAGAAAAAATACTGTTATTTTTTTGTGGTAATAGCCAGGAACATTCCTTACCTTTTCGGTAATAGGTGAAATACTACTACTATTATTTTTGTAACCTATTACTTCCCCATACAGTATGTTTTAGCCTGGTCGTTCTCTGCTATCACAAGGTTATCTGTTGTTATTTTACTTCCTTTTACAAGTTTATTACACCTTGATTATTGTCACATTATCTGTTCATCATGGGAACGATAATAGAATTAAATTAATAACTGTGACGCTGTTAGGAAAGTTTTTCAGCATTAAGTTATCTTTTTCTGTTACGTATTGCTATTTATTCTAAACCGATCCTTAATAAATTAGGAACATTAATTTAATAAAACCTTAGGTGGTTTAGAACGCATCTACAATGATTTGTTATAACTAAATAGCTTTTTATAAAATTAAATGATTAAATAAAAACAGATTTTGTCATACTGCAGCAAAAACAGCCATTTTAAATACACGCATTGCAGATCTAAAATAGCTCTTTTACTCTCTCGGAAGTAAAAATCTTTTTAGTCCCTAGGTAGTAAAAGTAAGTTGTTGTAAACAGTTGTAAGCTTTTGATTGTTAGCAATCGCATGTATCAAAATTATTTATCGATTGATCTAGTCGATTGTAGCTTAATGTTGCATTCTTGTCCATAGTTTGACATATCGATATTGTAATGTACACTTATAGAATTGGAATAGACGAAGATTGAATCACTTACTAAAGAGCTGTTTTTTTGCATTACAAGAATCAGAAACAAGTTCAACGTTGTTATTAGTGGTTATCTTTACATGATAAGTATTTTTATTATCTAACCTTCTTTGTTAATTAATCTTGAAATACGACAAAAAATATAGTTCAACACTCAGCCTAAAAGTGTCCTTTCAACCCTTGCTCATTTTCCTGAGACTTGATTGGTTCGTAAAGAGTCACTTTACGCCCTAGTAATGAAATATACTATTTTCACATTTTAGAATTTTTTATAAGGGGGAAAATAGCATAGTAAATATTTTCAAACAAATTATGTGTTAGCATTCAAGAATAACAGCTCTGTACTGCTTTTTTAGGCTTTAGTCTTGAAGGACATTAGCAAACATTATCTAGGAGGCCAGTAATACACTGTTTACTTTCAATTAATGCAATCAGGAGCGTATCGGTCTAAATTTGTTACTTGTTTATACCAAATGGCAGATTGATTGATTGGTTTACTGAATCAGGGCGAACCTAGTCCCAGTTTGCGTCAGTTACAAATGGGCTTTTTGCACTCCCCACTTGGTGCATCAGAGGCCGTCAAACCTGAGTTGCTTAGTGAACTGCAGCATCCTATCTATGAGCTCTTCTAGATGAAAGTGTCTGCCCCTTGTCATGGTTCCATTACCTGTGCAGTCATAGAGTAGATGATCTGCAGTCTCCTCGGACTGCCCACATTTCCTACATGCAGTGTCCCCAATGTAGATCCTCAAGCGATGTAGGTGCAATCTCAGGAAGCTGTGATCTGTCTGAGGCTAACGCCACATTTTCCAACTTATCGGCCACCTAGTTATCTTTTATCCCTGAGTGTCCAAGGTCCCAGCAGAGCGTCACTGTAGTGCTTCTGCCCAGGACAGATACTGTTGTGAGGTAGTCCCAGACCACCCTGGACTTGAACTCGCAGGAGTCGCGTGTCTTGAGCTCTGCCTGGCTGTCTGAGAAAAATGGATTCAATACAAACTTGGCACCATCCCTAACTAAAGACTTTTATTCAGTTGGTTTATTTGTAGTGGTCTATTTTATGGTATTAAATATTACTTATTTACTCAATTTTACAAAACTACTCCTCGACACCTTAAAACACGTTACCATCCAGCCGTCAAAGCTCCTCGGTATAAGTTGCCTTGTATAACCTGGTAGTGAATGTGGTTATGTCTCTCATTTCCTGATTTTTGTTTTTAATTTAAGTCGTTGTATAATTTAATTCATCTTTTCTTGGCCCCTTATAGATTTCATTGTGCGGTACAGGATTGAAAACTACACAAAAGTCTACTTCTGTTGTGTACAAGAATAAATTAGTGATAAAGACCAACTCAGCAATAGTTAACATTCATCAAGATAAAGAGTTTCATGTGCTACAAAAATGGAGGAAATGTGTGTATTGTGATACTGGTTATAGACCTAATTACTTCTCATAGACATTTTGCCATCATATTTTCATGAATAAACCGAATATCGCTGGCCCTTAAATGCTTCTTGGTAATCACTCAGAAACAATAAATCCCACATAACATTAACTTCTTACTAAGTTTAAACATGTTGCTTTGCAAACGATAGGTTGATTGCCAAATAAAGTTACATATTTAATTTCCAGAAACTTAACCTGCCATCTCCTACAAAGTGTTATTAAAATCAAAAAAGGAATCAAATAAAAACTGAATCCTAAGAAAGGTTAATTTATTTTAATCCTTACTGAATCCATTTCAAGCAAAGATATAATTTTAACAGTTATTATGTATCTGGGCTTTTGGCTTTATTCATAACACATTCAGGGGGTGGCGGCTTGGTGGTAGTCCTGTAAATAACTGACTCATAAGCTGTTCAAAGGTTACTCAGTGGCAAACAACATTACATATAAACGTTACTACCTATGTAACATTTAGAACTAAAACACGTTGTATCGTTTGTTGCCAACGAAGCTGCACGACTGTTTAAACGTAGCACCCACCATTTCAACATTCATTTTTAGGTTCAGGTACACTACAAGTATAGTCTACTCCTCCCAGATATACCAAATAGAGATTATATGCACATTACACATCCTTCTGTAATCCATATAGTCCAACCCACGTCAAGGAATTCCAACTTTAACAGCAACTTAACGGCCAAACGTCACAAAGTTATGCTAGAGGTTAATCCATTAGCACAGAAGTACACAATGATGACAGAAGTGGAGAGAAAAGGAATCGAACTAGCACAGTTTGAGGGGAAACCTCTCTTTGAAGTAAGAATTTCCCTACTCTCTGAACAAACAGATAATTTGATAAAATGAAAAAAGGATTTACTCTGCCAACCGCTGATAAAATTTAAATTGTTTTTACAAAAAAAAAGGCTATCCCCCACTACGATTTGAATACTATCTGGAGGTTTTTCCAAAAGGAGAAGGAACCAGTTATGTTAGTAATATTAATTAACTCAGATGAAGTACTGGAAATATTCTATGCAATGAGGTAATCCACCACATTTTGTAACGTATGCAATAGTCATTACTGTTTTACCCTCACTTAAGATTTTGATAATTTACTATTTATCTGAGTTATATATATGAATTGTAAACCATGAAACCAATTGTCGTTTTTGGTAGGTTTTAAATATTCTAACAAGTCAACCCCTATATTATTTTTAAATCTTTTGTATTCTCATGTAGATGAGAAAAAAAAGAAAAGTACCACAACAAATCTGTACCATCCATGTACCAACATTGATGTTTAAGACTTTTTCTCCGATTGGGCCTGAATGGTGAATGTTTGAAATGAATTGCGAATGTAACATATTTTAATACATATTTAACACTTTGTAAATTACAACGAGTGAAAGAGCAGTTCAAACAGTGTGATGGCACTATCATTTAGTCCCAAATATTATGAGAGATTGTTTGAACTATACCATTACATGTTGAATTACAAACAAAGGATTTATAAGATGTTGTATTTGCAGTATTGGAGCACCTGTCTCAACATTTATTTAAGAGACACTATAATCTACAAAGATTTCACTTCATTTTGATTTGTTCCTTCTGGCAAGGATTACTATTTGTAGTAATCATCAGGCTGTAAGTTTAATGTACCGATAAAGTTCTACAAAACCAATCTTTACTTTGAAACACTGAAAATGGTTTATAAAACAATCATTATTCATTACTTAGGAAGGAATGTGAAACACTTATCATTCCACAAAATGAATGTAAACTGATCACATTTTAGGTAATTCGAATCAGTTAGTGTTATGGTTGCCATGGAGACCAATCAATAAAATCTCTTGAATCCTTACCTTACATAATTATGTACTTTGTAGACCTCTAACAAATATACTTCGTAAAAATATTGAAAATGAGTTCACATATTACACTAGTTATAGTCCATCCTTGTGCTAAGTTTAAGATCAATATTGGTTCAGTATATGTATTTAAAATACCCCCACCGCAGCAAACCTGCTGACTAAGCGAATTTCCATTTGTCTGAATTGAGTTTCAATTAAATCTATTTAAATAACATTAGGTTTAATGATTACCTATGTTTGCTGCTACACTATTGCCTGAAGATGGAAACCTAGTTTCTGAAAGCGCTAGTAAATAAAATAAAATTATTATATATTGGTCTTGTTGAACTTGTACATTTAATTATAACATTTCATTATTAATTGCCAATATCTCCAATATAAGTTAAATCACAAAATATTTGAATCCTCGAAGGTTCTTGCCATACAGCATATGCAGGTCCTAGCTGATCGCAAAGAACTTCTGTATTGCAGATACCGTACCTTATCAAAGTCATCCTTACCCTTTCAAACTAAAGAGGAAATAAATTGATCATACATATGATGATATAATATGCCAAGTCAATTTGTTCAAAAATAGTTAACCTATTTCTCAAGAAAAATTTAGCTTGTTTCCAAGACAGATGAGGACGGTACTTTAGTTCAAGTAAGAGAATTTGTTAAATCTGGGTGGCCTGAAAACAAAATAATCTTGAGAATTCTGTAAAACCGTTTTGGAACTTAAGAGATAGTCTCCATCTCCATGTAATTGACAAACTTGTGTTTAAAAATGATAAATTAATAGTTCCTCGCAGTTTGCAAAAAGATATGTTAACAAAACTGCACAAAGGTCATGTTGGTGTAAGTACATATGAAATGAGAGCAAAAAATGTTTTGTATTGGCTTAGTATAAAGTCAGACATACAGGAGTTTGTAAATAGTTGTATGACATGTGCTTTACATTCCTCCTAGAACTGTAAAGAACCAATCCTGTTTCATGAAATACCATCCCTGCCATGGTCTAAAGTTTCAGCAGACCTCTTTGAATTAAAATCTGTGCACTATTTAGTTGTAATGTATTTTTACTCTAAATACATTGAATTAGTGTCTCTAAATGATATTAGCTCTAAAAGTGTTATTAACAAAATAAAGTTCATGTTTGCAAGACATGGAATCCCCCAAATACTAGTAACTAATCCAGGTACTCAGTTCACTAGTCATGCATGAGTTTCAAAACTTTGTAAATAGCTATGAACTCGGTCGTGTCTTATCTTCACCAACGCATTCCCAGTCCAATGGACAGATTGAGTCAGGAGTAAAAATAGCCAAAGGTATACTGAAAAAATGTGAACATTCAAACACCCCCCCCCCCCTACATCCCCCTACACCCTACATCCCCCCCCACATCACCCCTACATCGGTTTACTCAACTACAGGAACATTCCCAAAGGTAAATTACATTTACCTGCACAATTATTGTTTTCAATAAACTTAAATTCATTATTACCATGTTAAGCAAAGTTCCTGGAGCTAAAGGTCACATAACCAAACCCCACACCTGACATCATGTTTATGGGTCAATTAATTAATAACAAGTGTAATTAGTAGCACAAAATTATTAATAAAGCCACATTGAATTTACAACAGACAAGCTGGTGGCCCGTCCTACGTACGGGAATCAAGTTGTCAACTAAAACGGAATAATTCAGAACATCTAGTTTACACGCATAGACACAAATTCTGGCAGTTTTAATGGGGATGATCACCTTATAAACAAATGTAACGTGACTACCTATTTATTCCATTCGAATATAGACCTAAAATATGGCGATATGCATTTTAAATCCGATAATTTTACCGGAGTAGAGTAGCTGCATCCCACCTCTAATTGCATACTGTACTACTTATGTACTTACCGTACCTTATCTTACCTCCGTGACCACTGAAACTTTTATGAAGATTCTCTTCTATCACCTACCTCTTCAAACTTTAGATCCCAGTCTGAGGACGCATTTCATAACTTGATATTTCCCGTCTATCGTGTGGTACTCCTTGGAATATACTTTTTAAAAGTTTATGCAGAGCCTGTCCATCCAAGCTTTACCTACTTCTGGAAAGCATCCCTATATTTGGGTGTTAACACATTTCTCTTAGCTCTCTGTTCTTTTTTATTTCGACCTCCGGGCCGTAATCTTGAACTGGTCTGTATATTTTCTCTGCACTTTATCTAACCCAGCATTAAGGTTTTTCGGTTCTTTGGTCAGTGCCCAAGTTTCTGAATCATCAGCACTACGGGGATAGTTGGTATGGTATGAGTCGACTTTGGTTTCTGCTGCAGTTTATTTGACAGTTTTATAGAGACCTACTACACCGATTGACGCTTTCATTACTAACCAAAATTTTAGTATGCCGACATACTCACATTCAAACATAAAGAAAAAGAAGTATTGACACGTAAACCACTTATATCTTAAACAATTAAGCGATAAACTGCTGAAAAAATACTTCCCAAATATGAGTTGAAATTTGCAATGCATAAACTAAATACTTGCACGGCTTGCATTTACGACAAAACTTGATTAAACGCAAGTGTTTGAGATGTTTAGTTCAAAATAACACATTTCCTGATAACGCAGATCCTTCACGGTAGGGGAAAACTACCTACATTTTAAAGTGAAGTAGTATGTAGGCAAACACCAACGAACAATATTTTTGTAAACAAACAACTCGTAACATAAACATTTCAATGGCAGTTATAAACCAGCTGTTAGTTAAACCAGCATTGAAAATACTTTAAATTGCTAGCGTCGGCTGCTAGACTTAAAAAAAATTGAAACTTAATTTCTAAAAAACTAAAACCCTAAACTAAAATTATGGCTTCGACATTCCCTAGTTCTCAAATAGTATATTTCATTACTAGGACCGAAAGTGGCATTTTCCGTCGCGCGCTCAAGTTTTTGTGTGAGGCGAAGCCGAGTATGTGAGAGGTATTTTCACGTACGAGGCGAAGCCGAGGACGGGAATAATGGAGCAAGTGCCGGATAATAACTTTCGGTACGAGTTATGAACGATACTTTTCATCACGACGCAAAAATACACTAACACAGAATAGCAGACCTAAGTAATATTACATTTATTTTATTTCTCAATTAATTTGATTGAACATCAAAATAAAATAAAATAAAATTTTCTAAAAGGAAACCTACGTATATTTCTCAATACATTTGGTTTAAATATCAAAATAAAAGAATAAAACAACTTCGAACAATACATCCAGCTGATTCAAATCATTAAACTAAACCAGAACAAAACACTAGCGCTTAGTGAATAAATAGAAAACTAATTGAGAGCGA